TTGTTGTTTTTTTTCAAGGGGGAATGGGAGGAGAGGGGGGGGGGGGGGTGCTTCGCGGGAAAGCCTTTCGTTGTCTTCAAACGCTCGGGGGCGAAAATAAGCGAAACGACCCAACCGACTCGGTACAAAAGATGGCCAGAAGAACGAGAGCATGCGCACAAACACGACAAACAGAAAAGAGACAAAAGAAAACAAACCGTTGCGAGTGTACAAGAGAGAAATAATGGCTGACGTTGCGAGGAGTCGGCGGCGACGCTATTTCGAGTCCCGCTTTGGGGTGTGTTTCCAGCGCTCCCCTCGCTGCCGAGACAGTAGCGATGTCTCCATCCGAGTACGGCTCGAACGATACGTCGTCTCTCGTCGGCTGCCGTGCTCGAGTGGCCATCTATCTCTCCCTCTTCCGTGCGCGTGCGCGCACGAAAGCGCCTGCTAACTCCAATGAATGTCGGGCATGCGTATACGGGAGTGGGTGACGTTTTGGTTTTTTTAGGTATATTAACGTATTTTCGCGACTTTCTTTTGCGTACGCGTGCGTACTCAATGAGGTTACGCGCTGAAGCGGTTGACATGTCTCCACCGTTTTTCTAAAGAGTCCCGGGCGAGATATTTATATAAGCCTGGAGTTCTAGAAAAAAATAAGGCATAGGTGACAAAAAAAAATTATTTCCGCACGAAAATATTTTGCTTGAGAATCGGCTATGTCGGGTTTCGAAGAGGGAGTTTGTGGCGATCGTTCGGGCGAGAGCAGGCCTCCGAGTGTCGCTTCATTGCGGAGTTTGGTCTGTATCGACGGATGGATGCGTTTGAATAGAGCCCTTTGATCCAGGCGGTAGGTTGCGCCACCCAGCCAGTTAACCTCAGCTGCTAAGATCCACATTAAGATGAATCCCTTTAAGGTTTGTTGCAGATTCAGAATGTCTAAACGGGCTCCTCGTTCAAAACCCTCCATTCTTTCCAGTTTAGCGGAACGAGTTCTGGAAAGGACGGGACAGGGAGAGGAGGCAACTCCAATCATGGCTAGAAGAGAGAGCTTTATGGGGGGAGCCTGCCCCGATATTCTAAATTGGCAAAGCACTACAGCAGTTCCATCTATTTAAACTCTGGGTCCCTGTGATGGAAACTTCTCTTCGCAACTCGATTCGTGTGCCGGATCTCCAGGAGAATGGAATAAAGTGTTGCAGTCATACGGCTCATATTTTCTGTTCAATTCAGTTTAAGAATCCTCAAAGGCACTTCAATAAGATGCATTACATGATTGGGGGGGGGGGGGGGGCGGTACAGAAAGTATACAGTGAAGGTTGCCGAGTAAAAGTATTATTAATGATGAACAAGAGTCATATCGTCATATAACAACATAAGTAAGAGAAAGGAAAGTTATACTGAATAAACGTTTTGACTTATGAGAAACACTTGTCAAGTGGGCCTCGCGAATATCACCGAATTTGGCCTCATTAGTTTCGAGTACGATTATTTCAGGGAGAGGATTCCAATTAGTTATAGCTACTGAAAGCGGGGAATTTCTAGATTGACTAGTTTTCGCGAATAGAGGATTCACTTTTTAAGTTGTGCTCATGGTGCAAATTGATGTGAGATGGCGGGTGACTGTAATTGTCACGAAAAAAAAAAAAGAGAAATGATAGATTTTGTGAAATATGACAAGACGAGCAAGTTCAGTTATTTCAGTTCATGGACGAAGCTCTATATTTGATTTTAATGCTGTCATGCTCGACGTCCTCAAGTAGTCGTGCGATATAAAACGAGATGCTTAATTTTGAACCGATTCGAGTTTACGAATCATGTGTGCTTGCTGAAGCTACCAAATAGAGTTGGCGTAGTCTAATTTAGACCCGACGAAAGTTTTAAATGCAGTTAGTTTCATACTAGGTATAGGTTACGTTCAATACATCCTAAATATTTACAGGCGCTAGCCATCAGAGTGTTAATGTTAGTGTTCCAAGTTAGGTCATCAAACAAATTCTGTTTCTTGTATGTTTAGACAGCCGCGTTCAATAAATCCAGTAAATCCTAAATATTTACAGGCCCTAGCCACCAGTGTGTGAACGTTAGTGTTCCAAGTTAGGTCATCAAAAAAAATTGTGTTTCTTGTATGTATAGACAGCCTCGAAGTTGGTACGCCTCAACGGGTGACCTGTCTCCCAGCTGTAGATGCGAAATTCAGCCAGTGCGGTACAACCGCTAACCTGGGGTCTTTAACGTGCATCACGCAGTAGTGACCACACGAACACGTGCCGGTACGAATCTGATGGATTTGGGCAGGGGTGGGGTTTGAACCCAGGGGGCTCAACGACACAAGCTTTCGCTTTACGCTCCGAACTGAGTCACCCACTCGGCGACCAATCCCCCTGGCATGAGAAAATATTACGGCTAGGTATTTACAGCTCGTAACTTTTTTTCAAGGGTCTGTGTTAGTAACATGTAGTTCCGTATCACAGGATTTTGTTTTTTACCAGTAAGTGTTAGCAGTTTCCCCTGGGTTACGTCGACCTTCATCTGCCAGGTGTTAGAGCGGACCGAAAACATATTCAAATCTTGCTGTAACGATAAACGATCATCTGTGTTAGTAGTACCATAGCCTCCTCTATACTCACAAAGCCTCCGACGACGGAGCCATAGAGTGCCCGCTCGCAGATTTGGTGCCCGAGGATCTGGTAGCAGCACAGAGCATCAAAGAGCCAATTCTCGAGGAACCTGGACGTAAGCGCACAGCTTTTGCAGCTGCGAGGACCCGAAACACACTCGTTCACTCGGGAGAAGTATGTTTCGGCGTCTCGCCGCGGCGGGGCGCCAGTCACGTGGCTCTCCTCTCATCCGCTGTGTGCCGCTCCACCTTTTCCGTTTCGGCGGCCGCTTCTTGTGGCGATCTGCCAGGCTTTGCCAATATATAGGAGGCTATGGTAGTACATACATGATAGAAAAGAGACGGTCAGCAGACACTATGACATCTGGAGCCCCACGCATGATGTTCGAAGGATGTTCTCTTTATACATATATGTGCAGACAGTTTTTTGTATGAAAATGTGGCAGGACTACACGAGAAAGACGGTCAGTGTCCGCACACCATCTTTTACGTGATGTATTATAGAAATCAGGGCTTTATTAAACCGTCCCCCGACTTCCGCCACTAGTCGGATAACATCTGCTTCTGTATCTCCACCTTCCCAAAATATGTTTTTCCCAAGTCCCAGTACCCTCACTAAAACCAGTCATGCCTTCGGCAACTGCAGGGTGAATGAAGCCCCCTCACGGTAGATTATCCTTTTTCTATCCCGTCTTAGTGTGCCCTCGATTTGGGAGTGTTTCTAACCGCTCGATGGGGATGGTTTACGGGCCGCATTTGTAACGCAAGGCACGTGGAAGAGCTGAAAGCGTCGATGGTCCGTTTCCAAGCTCGGCTCAGCCACCCGCTAACGTCCTCACCACGCCCCGACGCGGGCCTGCTCATAAGCAACCAGTCTGCGCAGGATGGGTCCGCTAACACTCTCCGTGCTTTGAATTGCTTCTTCTCTTAGATCTAAGCTCTCCACGTAACTAAGCAGACAGCAACGACACCCTGTATCGTGCGGTGGAGTAGATAAGCGAGAGTAAATCGCCATCGCGTTTCCAGCCTAAATCCAGCGTACGCGCTGGATTTACGCGCTTCCAGCGTAGATCCATAATAAATCCATAACAAAACTGCTGTGTCTGCGAAAACGGCTAAAGTATGCCTCGCGCGCCATTAAACTCCTAGCAGATACTACACTAATTAGGCCTCTGCTTGAATATGCTTCTCCTGTCTGTTTTCCTTTCACAAAAATGAACATTCATAAATTAGATAGAGTACAAAAGCTTGCTTGTTCGCTTCTTTGCCAATAGGTTTAGTTCGTCCGACTCATCCACCGAACTTAACCGCGAGCTAGGAATCGAAACAGCCGAGCTCTCCAGACTAAAATTATTATTCCAAATTGCTTATAATACGATTAACGTAGATAAATCTAAATACCGTGCTGCTTATGATAGAAGAACGACCCGCTCAAACCATGGGAAACTATTCAAAGAATTTTATCGCCATTCGAAGCACGATTATCGCTGTGACTCGCGCTCGAATCTGTATACAGACTATCTTTTCTATGACCGCGGCCTGAAAGGCAATACAAATCCAAAAGTGAACCATCAAAAAAAGAAAGAAAAGAAGACTCGTCGCTCGGGCATAACTCCGGTCCTAAACGGGAAACCGACGCGCCTGTTCAAGCTCCACCGGCCCGCCTTATAAGCAGAAAAACTGCAACCGATCGCGGTGTTGCGTGTGTGTGTGTGTGTATTTGCCTCGGCGTTGGGCGTGGGGGGATGAAGGCTGGGAAGGAGCCACAACGGGCTTGGTTGCTAACTTTGGGAGCTGGACGGGGGCGACGATACCCGTGTCGTGTTAGTGATCGACGCGGTTTCTTTTTTCGAGCCCTCTTTTTTCTCTAGCTGGCGCCTCCATTCTCGGCTGTTTGGGGAAACGTTTAGTTCCATCCGTATATGTATATATATATACACCCGACCATTGTTTGTAAACGTTTGGTCATGCGCAAAACGCTTCGCTCTTTGAAACATGGGTTCCACGGGCAAGCGCTGCACATCGCCTGTGCGTGTGCAAACGCGCTCGTCCATAATCACCGAGCTGGTGGGTTCGCTGCCAACATCTGTGTGCGGCTGCGAGTGCGGGCTTACAGTCTAAGAAATATATAGCGTCGTCTTTCCCGCGGAAGCCGACGAGATCCAGTCGCTGCAATATACCGAGGAAAACTGGAGAATAACGTGGCTGAAAGTATGATAAAGAAATGCCGTAAGTACTTTAATGCTCACAGCGCAGACAGTTCTCTTTTTAGGTCTAAACGTATTTTCATCCTCGTCTTTTTCCGAGATAAATTGCAGCAATTGAAACCTCCAAAATGCTTCGCGGTAAAGTCTCAAGATGCGGTGTTGCCTCAACCGTTGGTCCTTCTTCTCTTTCCCAGATGCCGTAAACAAGCGCAGGGGCGTCAACTGATGGAACTTGCATCGTCCACTTAGGAGGAACCGCCTCCCAGAACCATGCCATTCGCTCAAGGTAACATTCGTCATTCAGACGTTGTTGGGGACGGCTGTAGGATCAAATGGTCCTATACAAAATGTCATCAGACAAGAAGGTGCCGGATAAAATGGTCGCCAACGAGTCCTTGATCTTGAAAGGTCACTGCAGAACCAAGAGATCCTTCCTGGATTGTACCCCCACCCGTGTCCGCGTTTCGGTCTGAATGAGCATGATACGGTTGTATAGGTCGTGTAAACGCTTTCCTGTGGTACGTTAAAAAAATCCCACGTTAGCAGTCTTACCACTCTGGCTAAATTTGACATCTACAGCTCCGAACCTTACAAGGACACCATATTTTCAGGGTAGACCGACATCTCCCTGTGTTCGCAGCGTACAATTCGAGGCCAATTCCCAGCCTTTCGAATTATCCTGCGCATGCTTATCCCAAAATTTCTTTGCGAGAAGAGTCAGAAAGCTAACGTTTTCTTGTTTGTGTGTGCGTGTGTGTGTTTTTGTTTTGTAAAAGTTTTGGAGATCCTTTTAGCCAGCAAGGGACTTTCAAAGAGGAAGTCGCTTCCTGAAGGGACTACAAAGAGAAACGAAATGTTACTGCCGCTCTCTTATCGATAGCGTGTTTATATCTTTGTTGATTTTCTTTTATCGAGCTCTACCAACACCACCCGGAATAATGAAAGCTTCCGCATGACCTCCTCTCCCTTCATGAAACGTCATCAGAATCGGATCGCGTCTAAGTCGGCTATTGGACCCGAGCCCGGCCTTCGATGCCCTGACTGACCACGAGCCACAGCCGAACACTGCCGCAGCACTCGTGCCCAATCACAGGCCTCGATCGATCTGACTGGGATGGCGGCGCGGAGACCTTCTGCTTGTTTAGGTGGCGTTGTTTCAAACTACGACGGCCGCACTATAGCGCCAGTCCTTTCACTATTACCTCGAGCTCGTGGGTCGAATGACTGCACTTTTTCCCATCCCAACTTGGCTATAAACGCCGCCACCCTCGCTAAACGGCGTCAAAAAAGCTTTCGTTCCAACGCGATGGAGCTACTGTGCCGCACACACGATCGCCATCTTTCCGCCGCCTCCTTCGCGATGCCTTCCGCCTGATGTCTCTCCGCGATAGTCTGGTCAGAGGTTATCGCGAAAGGGTGAGAGTTGCTCCGTGACTTTCTGCTCTGTGCGTGGGCAGCCGAATCCTACCCAAATTGCTAGCTGACAGTGCGGGAGAAGCTAGCTGTTCGTTGGACCAATCGTACGTCGATCTTTGACCACGTGATCAGGCTCTCCGTCCCATCGTCATGCGCAGTCAGCAGGGTCAGGGGGTGGAAGGGAGGCGGCTGATTGGTCCACCGAGTGCGTAGCTTCCATCGCTACACTGCCAGCTTCGGCGCGAACGAAGTGTAGCGGGTAGGCGATTCAGGACGTGCTGGGGGTCTCCAGTGGAACAACGACGACTTTGTTCCGTTCCTATTGTCCCGGAAGGAAGCGGTTTCTTTTCGCACTCTTCTCGCCCGAGACAATGGTCAAGTCGACGGCGCAGTTGGGGCTCGGGTTTCTTCGACTCCTTTTTCCTCGGAGTCATTGTTTTCTGTGACTTTGCGATAGGCGTTGAACTTCGGCAGATCTCCTTCATTTGTCTCGGTTTCAGAGTAAGGGGAGATTACGGCTATTCGCAAGTTTCAGCGATGGCTGTACCGCGGTGTGAGAATCGCGTCCCCTAGCTCCTGGATGATCAGCGTTAAATGTGCTTGCCTACACCTTCCTCACGGGAAACAATTAAAGTCAGACTCTAATACTGCTCGTATATAACAAAACTAGAATTACTTTCGCGACGCAGACCCAGCCTCGTACTGCTGATCTACGACGATGACTCAGAAGACAGCCATCTTCTTAGGCATCAGTGCACGCCATAGATCTTGAATGTTGCGAATAGTCGCTCAGTACGTCGCAGGGAGTGTTGCGTTCCGGGCATCTTATTCTTGCTCTTCAGCCAATGATATTGGGGCATTAGCGGATAACAACGTCGAAGAACCAATCACGAAGCTAGAAGTGTTTACACACCCAAGCCACGCCCATGCCTTTCTTAAATATGCGAAGCGCTGGATGGAGAGATGGACACGGGAAAGTGCGCCATCAAAGCGTGTGTATTCCGTCGTTAGGTAATTATAAGCGGATCGTTTAAAACATTAGATTTTTTAGACGCTAATAATTTTATTCTTACATCAGTCATTCATAAGCAGACCGGCGTGCACGCAGGTTGTACCCTCGAGGATGGTCGCCGTGCGTGGTCGCGCATACAGGCACTCTAAGAAACCAGACTTTCCAGCAAAGCACTCGGGGGAACCAGTCGCCGCAATCCACGTTGGAGGCTCGGCTCTAAAAATGTGTTGAAACCTAAAAAAAAAAAAAAAAAAACTGCGTGTTTTGTGAGAGTATGCAAGACGTTTCACGTGCTTACTTCAAGCTCAGTTTCGCGGCGCAGACTCATCTTTCTTTGTGTTAGGTCCCAGCATACTTTCGCCATCGTAATTCGCTCTCAGCGAAACGTCGTCTGCCACTTTGACGCGTCCGAGGGACTTCCTTTTCGGCCACCACCGTCTCGTTCTCTGCGGCATGTTTGTCTGTCCGAGCCTGCTCACACCCTCGGACAGGCGCTTCAAAGTCATCCCACGCTGCCAGCGATGTAGGAAGACGGGCTGACTCTCTTGGAAGCCCTCTTGTGCAAGTCAAACAGTCGGTCGCGTGACGTCTACTCCTCGGAGTTACACTCCGCTCACCTTCACGATGGACCAGAGCGGACCCTATACGAGCCCTCCCGGCCAATCCGGTGCTGCGAACGTGTCACGTGACTCCGCGCCTTCCGAAGGTAGCGTGAAATGTACGCACCATTGGAGAAAGTGTTCGCGTGACTCGTAGTGTCGGCTGCGGTTCATCAAAGGGCGAAACGGAGTATAGCGGACGGCAGCAGCCCAAGCTGGGGCGTCGGGACCTTCCCACTCGAATATCCGAGCGAGCGATCGTCGGCTCGCCTTCGGTTTGTTGTCTTTGGAGAGCCGACTCGGCCGAGCACGCCAGACGCTCGTTCTCTCTCTCTCGAGTATCGCTATCTTGGCGCGACTTGGAAGGAAGTAGAGAAACGCGTGCCTTAGGTACAGAGTGCGGCACCGTTGGTATCTAAGAGCGATCGAGCGATCGCCGGTTCATTCGGTTTTTCGCTCGTTAACGTCTGTCAAAAAAAATCAAGGACCGTCAGCGAGACTAGGTGTGCGTTGGAGTTTTATTTATATTCTCGCCTTTAGTTACCCGCTAAACAAAGAGTGGCGATATTAGTCGCCGTCCTTACGGGCGTATGGTTAGCTACTCGATTTTTATTTCAGATGCGAATCAATGTTTCATGCAGCGCATACATAGACACTCCCGAGGCCTCACTTTCGCAACTTCTCACAGATATCCCTTGAGCCGCGGTCAGACTGCGAATATATACATCATGCAAAAGACAGTCTTCATACGCTCTCTGAGCCGGTTCCTTGTGGGACATTGGTCAGCCTCCCCTATACTCACAAAGCCTGGCAGTTCGACGACGGAGCCATAGAGTGCCCGGCCGCGGATTTGGAACGCGAGGATCTGGTAGCACACAGAATCAAAGAGCCATTTTTCGGAGAACCTGGACGTCAGCGCACAGCCTTTGCAGCGGAGAGGACCCGAAACACACTTGTTCGCTCGGAAGAAGCGTGTTTCGGCGTCTCGCCGCAGTGAGGCGCCAGTCACGTGGCTCTCCTCTCAATCGTTGTCTGCCGCTCCACCTTTTTCATTTCGACGGCGGCTTCTCGTGGCGATCTGCCAGGCTTTGTCAGCATGTGGGAGGCCATGTTCATGCAAACACTGTATCCAGATATGTTCTAATTATGCGCGAAGCAAACATGATTCTAAGATGCTTGTCCGCCGATGTCGTCATGTCTGCAGCTAACAAAGTTTCTTTTGTATCATGTAGGAGCAGTGAGAGCGCGCCTTGGCACACACGCACACACACACACCCGAAACGTATCAATTAATTACGCGCAGTTTCGTAACTAAAAGACGAAAAGTCACATGGCCAACAAAAGAGCCTTCATCAAGATTTCAGCGTCTCACCTTGGTAAGATCAATATGTTTATTCCTGCTGCTGTGGAAGTTACTACGCCACGCTTGGAAGGCTTCATCAAAAATGGTCATAACCACACTCCCTTTGCAGAAATTCACATGTACAAAGACCAGACATCTACACAACGCGTTACTAATAACGAGTTACTTCTATCTTGATACTTTTTTCGGTAACGAGTAACGTACTTGGTTACTTTTAAGGCCAAGTAACGAGTGACGGTGTTTCCTTCCTTTTAAGGAGTTGCGTGTATAACAACGTAAAAACAGCCTCGTTCTAATTGAAACCTGAATAGGCGTCTATTGCGACAAAGGCAGATGGGCAACCCGAAAAACAACTAAAGAGCATGACAGTAGGGCAGCGTTCATCGTTGACCACGCCATTCCAGCTCTACAGCTGGGAATGTCCTTCACCCAGAGAACGCAATAAGGTCCGTCGGTGGAACCTGTTAGAATCGTGTACAGACCCGATGTAAGTAAGCCCGGAGGTTGCCAACGCGGGAAGGCAAAGAACCGTTGTCAACTTCAAACTTTAGAAGCAGGCGGAACAAGAGAGCTCTTCCTAAAGCACCAGTTCTTCCTGAAGCACAACACTGCTGATTACTTGAACGCGTCAGAACAACGACTCTTCTACGTTCGCCGGAGATGTATTCTAAATGAAGCGGGGAAACTTAACTGATGAAACCTTCGAGAGGTAACTACCGGTTAAGTGCAAGGACTACTGAAAAGAAAGCAATAAACAATGAAAAAAAAAAAACAGTTGTGCATTTAGTTGTCAAAGTAACGAAAGTGCTAGCTCGCTACTTTTGATGTAAAGTACCGCGTTGCTTTTGAGAATTGTAACGTGTAACGTATTTAGTCACTTTTTAAGCGAGTAGCGA